TATATATATATATATATATACTCACCTAGGTGGCTGTAGATTTGATCCATAGTTACATAGTTAGCCTGGCTGTCAAAAAGACAAAAGTCCTCCACTTCAAGCACAAAAAAAAAAAATTTATAATCCTGCACCTACAGTTGATCCAGAGGAAGGCAAAAAATTCAGTAAAGCATGATCCAGTTTGCTCCTGCAGGGGAAAGAATTCCTTCCTGATCCCCCGAGAGGCAATCGGTTATTCGCTGGATCAACTTTACCTATAAATGTTAGTAACCAGTTATATTATGTGTAACCATGCCTTTTTTTTAACCGCTTCTTGCCCGCCCTATCGTGGCCACGTCTGTCAATCACTGTGTCCCGGCTGGTAATTGCCGGCGCCTGGTGATTTCCGAAGATCTCTGACAGGGAGGAGGACTGTTTTGTTTACGAACAGTCCTCCTCCCTGTCAGCTGGGGCACACTGCTCTGGATGGATGTGCACAGCCATCCAGAGTAGTGTGATTACAGTGAAGCACACAGACACTGCCCCCTAGTAAAACACTCCCTGCACACAGTTAACCCTTTGATCGCTCTAATGTTAACCCCTGCACTGAAACGCACATGTCCTTATTTAAATTGAAGAAAAATTAAAAATCAACTGGAATGCGTCAAAAAATGCATCCAGAATGCATCTGGACTGTGTTTCTATAGTGTGAACCAACTTTGAAATTATGGCAAGCCCCAAAAACTCAGTAAGTGAAGCATCTTGTTAGTTGAGCAAGAAGAACAGAGTTAAAGTCCATATTCTCTCACCATTTAACCGTTGTATGTACTGTATATAAACATACTATCAGCAAGTGGTTATTACAAGATCATGCCTGTTTTTTTCAGCAGGCACTCGGCTGTTTTATTAAAGTGATCCAGGCAGCTTTACAGCCGCCCAGTAACTTTTACAGCTCTGGGAAGGCGGACCACCGCCCTTCCGCACTCCACAGCCGCCGGTGGTTCCCGGGATTTCCTTTGTCCTCTGTGGAGCCTAAAATCTCAGTAAGTGGCTGGCAACAGCTTACCACAGAGGAGACGAAGGAAACTGATGTTTCCCCTCTCCTCTGTGACAAATGAACCCGGAAGCGATGATAATTTTGTCACTTCCAGTTTCCTTGTTGTCATTCCCTGAAGCAGCTAACCAACCACAGTCTGTGCTTGGGTAATTGCTTTGGAGAGCAGGAGAGACATAAACCTCGATGATACCAACACAACATAGATGTGTGGTGCAATCACTAACATTGGAGTGAGCGCAATAATTATAGAGCCATTATTCAAGGTTAACTCTACACTGATAAAAATGGAATGGCTTTTAACCACTTTCCGCCCAGCCACCGCATTAAAACGGTGGCAGGGCGGCACGGCTGGGCAAAACCACGTTTTAAAAAACGTAGTTTTGCAAAACAGGTAGGTGGCGCGTGCCCGCCTTACCTGTCCCGCGGGTGTCAGCAGCGGGTGTCAGCCGCCGGGTCACGGCCGGTGATTACCGGCCATTTCCCCGGGATTCGCGGTGATCGCTGACAGAGCAGGGCTGCATTGTTTACACAGAGCCCTGCTCTGTGTCAGTTTGCCGACAGCTCGTGACAAGCTGCAGAGGGAGAGAAGAGTTTATCTCTCTTGATCAGCCTGTCCTTGTCCAGGACACCCCCGCCCCCTAGTAAAACACTCCCCTCACACAGTAAATCCTAAAAATGTTAACCCCTTCCTCCCCAGTGCCATTAGTACAGAGTCAGTGTTTTTTTTGTTTTTTTTTTTACTGGGGATGTCAGTGACACCAAGTTAGTTCCCCCAGTGTCAGAATGTCCACCGCAGTCCCGTTTTATAAGTTGCTTATCGCCGCCATTACTAGTAAAAAAAAAAAAACCAAAAACATTCCAATATAAATACCACCTTTTGTAAACGCTATAACTTTCATTTAAACCAATTAATTTACATGTATTGGGATTTTTTTTGTTTTAGCAAATACATGTAGCAGAATACATTTTGGTGTAAATTATGACGAAAATTTGATTTTTACATTTTTTTTACTGGGCATGTTTAATAGCAAAATGTCAAAAATATAGGGTTTTTTTTGTCAAAATTGTCAGTCTTTATTTTTTTATAGCGCAAAAAATTAAAAATGCACAGGCGATCAAATACCACCGAAAGAAAGCTCAATTCGTGGGGAAAAAAAAGGACGTAAATTTCATTTGGGTGCAGCATTGCATGACCGTGCAATTGTCAGTTAAAGTAACGCAGCGCCGTAACGCAGAAAATGGCCTGGTCAGGTAGGGGGTAAATCCTCAGGAGGGCAAGTGGTTAAAGAGTCCCTAAAAATTAGAAACAATGGATTTGAAATGTCAGAGCTCAATTCTTTAAGGACCCGTGGGTGTATGCCATCCAGTCCAGGTGCTTTATTCACCTTTTATACTGTCTAAAATGTTTTGGATCATATCAATTGTGAGCCAATGTGGACCATCTGGAGCTGTGTCAACACCATGCCCACTATGGACAAGAGCTCCCCCATGCTCCTTTGTATACACAGAGCTGAAGAAGGTATTTAATACATTTGCCTTCTCTTTGTCCCCTGTCACCCACTGTAGACTATTTTGGAAAGGGCCTACATGCTTGGACCGGACCTTTTTACTCTTAATATATTTGAAGAATTTTTGGGTATTTGTCCTTTTATTATTATCCAAAGACATGCTGGTAGGTTAATTGGATCCTGTCTAAATTGGCCTTGTATATGAATGTGAGTTAGGGACCTTAGATTGTACACCCCTTGAGGGTTAGGACTGATGTGAATGTACAATATATATGTAAAGCGCTGCGTAAATTGACGGCGCTATATAAGTACCTGAAATAAAACTAATAAAAAAAATATCATTATTATACAGGATTTATATAGCGCTAACAGTTTGTGCAGCACTTTACAAAATTAAAGTAGACATTACAGTTACAATACAGTTTGGTACAAGAGGAAACAGAGGGCCCTGCTCCTATCTTTTGCAATCTGTCATTCGGCCTTGATTTCCTTTTTGCATATTCTGTTATGTTCTTTGTAATGTTTAAACAATGATAATGTTCCTTCATTTTTATATTTAATAAAAGCTCTTTTCTTATTATTTATAACTTTTTTAACTTTGGCCGTAAGCCACATAGGTTTGATTTTTAGCTTTTTAAACTTGTTGCCCATGGGAATATATTTTGCAGTGTGTTCACAGTCTTTTTGAAGACCTCCCATTTCTGTGTTTTGTTCATTGATGCCAATATTCCCTCCCAGTCTAAGTCTTGTAGAGCAGCTCTCAGCCTTAAAGTTAAGCATTTGTATTTTTCCCATATGTGCCTTTTGTTTACAGCTAACAATAAATGAAATTATGTTATGGTCACTGCTACCCAGATGTTCTTTTATATGGACATTAGCATGATTTGAGATTAGCAGGTTCAGCAGAGCATCATTCTTAGTTGGGGCCTCTATGAATTGTACCATAAAATTGTCCTGTAGTAGGTTTACAAATTTTTGCCCTTTAACTGTTCCTGCAGTACCATTACTCCAGTCAATTTCTGGGTAGTTAAAATCCCCCATTATTATCACTGTCCCAGTCCTTTCGATCTGTGCAAGGAGCCGAGTCTCCACCTCCTCATTAACACTGGGTGGCCTATAACAAACTCTAATGATTACATTTGTAGTATGCACCCCCATGTGCAGTTCCACCCATATTGTTTCAGCCTCATCACACTCTCCATCCACTGCTGCATCTGCCCCCCTACCTCTGCACTAAGAACTGACTGATCAAACATCACTGATCATTCAGTTCTCCCCTCCACTCTGAGCAGAGAGCCATGACTGTCAGTCACCGGCTCTCTGCTCTGCCTCTCCAGTGCTCACTAGAGTATCTGGCTGTGGAAGAGATGGAGCGGCTGGCTCAGTCTCCTGAAATTAGAAAAATAAAACCAGTGAAAAAAGTGCTAAAATGCAGAGAGATTTCCAATCCAGTGAGCCGATGCTGAGATGGAACTGATCATGCATAGCAGTTTACTAGAGATTTATATCTTAAAAAGAGACCCACTTGCGCGCTTTAATAAAGCCTAGATGGCTCGGTCCGTCCTGCTCATAACACCATTTATCCAAGTATAGACTCCAGTCAAGGAAAATCACTCTCAATAATGAATACCGGTTAGGAGATAAAAGCAAGGAAAAGCCTCATAGTGCAGTAAGCCTACATTCAGCAGTGTGTACCACCACAGTCCCGCCATGAGTCCCAGCAGAGTGTGCTTGTGATGACATCACCCAATCAGCTCCACCCTCCCCTAGCCTGGACAGGATGAATGACATCAGCCAACAGCGGGCTTTACCTGCTGTCGGCTAAAACTGGATCATAGGAGTACAGAACAAACTGCACTCCTATGATACATAGAAGTATAGCATACAAATGTCATACACAGTATGTATTTGGGATTTGTTATGTATAAGAATACTCCTGCTATGCATGATAGTGTTTGCCAGAATATGTGTGTCAAACTTGAGAATGTCCAGAAAGGAAGCAAGTATAGACTTGAACAAACTAAGCCAAACTCCTAGTGCTTTTTAAGCAGTTACAGTGACAGTGTTTTTTCCCTTTTTTTACATAAATAAAAGCTGACCATTGTTAGCACCCCTGTCAGTGTTAAATGGTTTGTCTCATTCCACTCACTGACACTTTTGCAGGTCTGTTAAAGGAAGTTGAAAAAGATCAGACTTACTAGCTGGATCAACAAATGAAAAAAAGGAAAAAAAGACAGGAAAAAAATCCCCCAGCTAGCCACCGCAAACACAAATTGGTGAACTGCAATTGAATAGATTTAATTTTTTGGCCTTAATACTGTTTCACTGTCTGAACTCTGTAATCAAATATGAACATGAACTTTTATCTTTATTGTATTTTTAAAGATTTATTTTTAAAGCATGTTAAGTAACCTAATTGTTCTTACCAGATTTCTGATGAGGAGATTGAAAGGATTATGTCTGGTCAAGAGTTTGAGGAAGAAGCCAACACGTCATGGAGCAACAATGGAGATAGTGACCATAGTTCTCCAGGCAACGTAGTATCTGAAAGTAACCAGCCTTCTCCAGTGTCCACACCTTCCTCCAGGTAGATGCACCAAATTTTCATTCTATCTGAAAAACAAAACCCACCACTGTATTCTATTTTAACGTTTGATACTGGGAGTGCTGACATTCAGAATCTCCTCTTTCAGTAGATCAGTGGAACTAAATGGATTTGGTTCTCTTCGGGACCAGTATTTGGGCACTCCTGCTCCAACGCACTATCAATACCTACCTCACCTATTTAGCTGCTCTACTCATTCTGCTATAATACCATCTCAAACCAGAAGTCTGGACCCTCAGTCGCACACCCTCGTCAATCAGCTACTGGCTGCAGAAGACATGGAACCACTTAATACCCCTATGCTGATTGAAGATGGGTAAGTGAGCCATGTACCATACAGTGGGATGAGTACAGAGAATTACTTCATCAATAAAAACCATTATGCTGTTCACTGTCATTTTTAAGTATATCCACTGAGATTAATAATTTTATATGTATCTCTTTATGTTGTTTTTATGTTGTTATAGAGATTCAGGTGCTAAATTTATTCAGAGTGAATAAACAACAAATTGCTCTTCGAGTATGTAAACCCTCACCTTGTAAAACAGCCCATTCAGTTAAAAATTCTGAGAATTTAGAAATTAGAGACATTAGAAATTCAGAGAAATTGTAAATGAAAGACAAAAAAATTTGTATAGATATATTAAATACCTTTCCCTCTGTTCTCAGCTACCTAACAGGGTGAGGGAGGAGAAACAGCAGCACACTGTTCTTCCCAGTGAATGCCTGTGCAGAGAGGTGTGTGTCCACACAAACCTGATCATTGAAGGAGACCACACTGCATTCCCAGCACAACTAGAGAACTGATCACACTGTGCTCTCATGCCTAGTGTGGTCAGTTTTAAATAGGAAAGCATAGGGACTGGCAGGAATCAGGGATTTCACACAAAGGAAGCAATACAAAGAGAACAGGATACTTCTTCATACAAGTACATGGTACAGCAGGCATATATCAGAAAGTAAGGAGCAGGCATTGTTCCAATGATGCAATGCAATTATAACACTCAACCTACACAATTGTTGGCATGCAAAGAGCATACAGATGGAATGGGACGGGAATGATTCCTCTTGATTTACCGGCAATGTTGTTTGCTAGGCTTCATAACCCACTTTTATTAAGTCAAAAGAATGTAACGGAAAGGCTATTCCCATGCAGGTATTGTTTCCAGCATAAATCCAAATTGAAGATGAAGGGGTCCCAACAGCTTGGACAATTTAATGAACAAGTGTGGACCCATTTTCCTGGGTCAAGAGGCTTTCCTTTCCTGGCATGCTTGAGAGTACTGTCATCACAGCCTGGGTATTCAAGTGGCTGGAAAGTGCAAACCAAGAGGCAAGAACGAGCAAAGATGGAAGCACCGGGAGTGGTAACAGCTCAGCGCTGGAGGAATCCATTTGTAAGCTGATTCTGCCATAATGTGCTAGTATGCGGTGCATACTAACACATTATGGCACAAACCTGCAGGGAGCTAGTTAAAAAAAAAACAAAAAAAAAAAAACAAACTTTGTTCGTTTACTACCAATTTAAGGGGTGATGAAAAACTACAAATATATTCCTCACTAGCCACAAAGTGTATATGAGGAATTTGTGTGCCCCAAATTCCCTTAATTATTTACTGTATAAAGGTAGTGTTGACATCTTCACTATGCTGCACATAGCCTGTACAGACAAAAAACGTTGGGGGAGGGGCCCGGCAGGTCCACCCATTAAAGGTTGCCTGCATAAAACTACAGAACGAAGCAGATACAAGACCAGTCACCCTGAGCAAGGAGCGAGAGCAGCAAGGACTGGTACTAATGCAGGAACGTTTCATACTGGATTACTGCACAGATCTGGAAGAAATACACAAAGCACCATGGTTAAGGAAAGAATACACATTCCTGGTTTTAGACAATACTTCCTGCTTCTGGAGTTTGGCTCTAAAGAGGAACTTTACTGCTTCTGGAGTGGGTGGGCATTGGCAGCATACTTGCAAAATATGGCACACTTACACCCAACCCTCCTCTTCTTCAACAATGAGATGTCTGCACAATTTATTGGAAATGAAAGGTTTATAAATTCTAGCATTCCCTGCATTAGTGTAAAAACACTCACCACTAACTGTCCCTCCTTCCCTCCAAAGACTTAGTAACTGAGTCCTGTCAGCAATCCAGTGCTGTCCCAGCTGCAGCTTCTCTTTCTTCACTTTCTGGTTTTGCAAGTGACACGGTGCAGTGGGAGCCATAGGTTCCTGCTGCTGTCAGTCAAATCCCATGAGGTGGGAGCGAGAGGCATGGCCGAGCCACACTGAGTGTGTCTATGGACACACACAATCCTGCATGGGAGCATGGCCACACGGGTGCCCTCATAGCACACAGCTTGTTATGGGGGCACCCACAGGAAGAAGGAGCGGAGAGCACTGGTGGGGGACTCCCGAAGAGGAGGTAAGGGACAGAGCAGGAAAGTATTAAAAAAAAAAAAAGGGATTATCACTTGTCTATGTCTATGGATGTACACAACATAGCTTGGGAGCGCGCTTACTCGGGTGCCCCCATAGCACACATCACGTATGACCTTTTTTTTTTTTTTTTTTAAATACAAAAAAGTCTTTAATATAACTTTAAGTTATTCGCCCACTGAGCCCCACAACGCACTGCACTCTGACATTGTGATTGGCCAAAGCAATGCCACTGCAAAGTGAGCCAGAAGTGGGAGCGGGTACCTTCCTTCATCCCACAGTCTCCTGGGAACCTTCACAGGTCCCAGAAGACTGCCAGACTAAGCAGGAGGTGCAGCGTGACTCGCGCATGCGCAGAGGGCAGCCAGCTGTGAAGCCGCAAGCTGTGACCGCCTGGGGCCCACAGTTGAGGTGCCAGGGCTGTGGAGAGAAGAAGAAGAGGAGGGACGGTGTGGGTGAGCACATTACTGGACCCTGGGACAGGAGAGTGTGTGCTTATTAAAAAAGTCAGCAGCTACAGTTTTTGCAGCTGCTGACTTTTAATAAACACAAAAACGGGTCGGCGGGGGCAGTGGGTATCGTGATTGACGTTGGATCTACTTTGAGGGACATTTTTTGTTTTTAACAAAGGACTTGTCAAAGACTGTCTCCTGTCATTTTTTACTACATTTTTTTTTTTGTGAATGGATAGCGGTACCATGTACCGCATACGCATTTACATGGATGGGGTGGGATCTGGGGCTCCATATTAAAGGGGGCTTCCAGATTCCAATAAGCCCCCCTGCCTGCAGACTTCCACAACCACCGGCCAGGGTTGTGGGGAAGAGACCTTTGTCCCCATCAACATGAGGACAAGGTGCTTGGGGGGGTATAAGGCCTCCCCTGCTCCAAAGCACCTCTCCTCCCACGTTGAAGGCATGTGGCTTGGTATGGTTCAGGAGGGGGGGAGGGGCTGCTTGCTTGCCGCACCCCCCCCCCTTCCTGACCTGCTGGGCTGCATGCTCAGATAAGGGTCTAGTATGGATTTTGGAAGGGACCACTATGCCATTTATTTTTACATTTTGGCATGGGGGTTCCCCTCAAAATCAATATAAAGACCTGAAGGGCTTAGTATGGGTGGGAGGGGGAACCCCACACCGTTTTTTTTTTTTTTTTTATTAATAAATTGTTGGGCAATGCCGACAATTCTTTTGAAATTCAGCTGTCACTAGGGAACCCCACTGACAGCTGATACATAAAAGAATATTTCACTACTGAAATACCGCATGGCTTAATAATATAACTCGTGTGATATTTTAGTAACTGAGCGGTATCTTACCACCTACTCAGATGCGGTAGGATAAAAATTGTCCCTGTTCAAAGTTCACGGTCGATCTTTTGGTAGGTTCGAATGTTCGACCACAAACCGAACAGGAGGGTGTTCGGCTCGTCGCTAATTTTTTTTATCACATTTAAAATGGGCATGTTAAAATTATAACAACATTTTATCTTAATGATGCTGTAAATATAATACAGCACATTGTAATGTTTAAGTCCAGCTGGTAACATTTTACGATGTATGTACAAGAACAGTGGCATTGTAGCTAAACTTGAAAGAATAACTAATTGCACCTCATTCATTAAAATAATAGGTTCATGCCTTCATGTAGCCTATGATGTTGACATTGTAATTCATATGTAACATTATCCTTGTAATGTTCTTTGTGAGCCTTTTGTACAGTAAAAACTTTCAAGTACGTTGCTTTTATTATAATATAACTAGTGCGAAATCAAAAAGCCAATTAATACAAGCACTGCATGCAATACAACAATTCCACCACATGATGGCGCCGATGGAAGCCTTTACATATTATTGTCAGTTTCTCATTCATTTAACTATTGCCATGCTTTTTGGGGAGATGAGCTTTTCTATTCTAATCAATGCCCAGTGCTTTTGTGCTAGAAAATATGAACATTTTCAGATGTGTATGTTTGTGTTGTATCAAGGTTTAACATGCTGTTGTGCTCATATAACATGTTTTTCTGCTTTTAGCTATCATTCCTATGGGATTTTAGATTACCCACTTCAGCTCCGGAAGGATTTACCCCCTGTTTGACCTGGCCAAGTTTTGCTATGCGGCACTGCGCTACTTTAACTGGCAATTGCGCGGTCATGCAGTGCTGTACCCAAATGAAAATTATATAATTTTTTTTCACACAAATAGTTTGGTTTGGTGGTATTTGGTCACCACTGCATTTTTTCTTTTTCTGTTAAATTAACAAAAAAAATTGAATATTTAAAAAATAGACAGTATTTTTTTTATTTTTTGCTATAAAATAAATCCATTAAAAAAAAACAAAACAAATTTCTACTCAAATTTAAGCCAAAATGTATTCTGCTACACATCTTTGGTAAACACAGTTCCAATAAGTGCATATTGGTTTGTGTGAACGTTATAGCGCCTACAAACTATGGTGTATATATACTAGAATATTTACTTATTTTTTAAATACTAGTAATGACGGCGATCAGCGACTTATAGCGAGACACTGAGTGGGAACTAACTGCCACTGACATCGCCAGTGACACTAATACAATCAGTGTTAATTATATATACTGTACTAATGACACTGGGGTAATGGGTAATGGGGTAATATCTGGGGCAATCAAGGTGCTAATTGTGTGTCCAGCAAGTGTTAATCTGTTTACTGTGTGCTGCTTTTTACTGCAAATCAATTTATTTATTTTCCCTGTTTTCCAGGGAAAAGAAATAAAGTGATCTGTCCCTCTGTATACAGCTCTGTGTTTGCTAACTCGTAACTGTAGGCTGTGATCTGACACAGCCAATCAACAGTCCCGGCTGTGAATGATTGGCTGAGATCTGTCAATACACTACTG